TAATTCAGTGACCAAATCTCCAAATCAAATCAGAGGACCCTTTAATCTCTCTGACTCAAATTGGAACCCGCCAAATCAAATCGGAAAGATTCGGAGATTTGGACACAGACACAGCTTTAAATGTTTTTCTACATACCTCTAGGTAGCAGGCAGCTCACGAATGCCGCGATGCTGGGGCGCATAAAGAGTCCCACAGGCCTGCCCCCTTGCCCCCTCAGATCAGCAACTAACTAGTGCCACCTGGGTCTGGGGGGGGCACCGAGGGTCCCCCCATGGCCGATTGCCAATTGCCAAGCTGGGGAAGGCGTGGGGGAGCCCCCCCAGCACACTCGGAAATGAACCGGGATGGCTGTCTAGCATGTGGAGGGCCCCCGCCCCACACTCCTGTGGGACACTTCATGTGCCCCAGCATCGCAGCGATCACAAGCTGTGCCTGATACATCAAGGTATGCAGACAAAACATTTAAAGCTGTGTCTATGTCTGAATCACTGATTCTCTGAATCAGCATCGAATCTTCAGATTCGGCAAAATCGAATCAGGGACAGTGATCTGAATCAACAAATCGAATCACTGTCCCTGACTTGGGCCAGATCTGAATCCGAATCAAATGGGGCCCACTTCGCACACCCCTAATGTATATGTGCCTCCAAGTAATTTAAAGGATTTTGACATTATGGACCATAAAATGCCCAATTCCCATTCCTACCATCAAAACCTATCTTGATTTATGGAACATAGAAATCTAAGAATAAAATCTTTCCAACTCCTGTGTCAATATGGCATATTCAGACTATTCTTATTCCCATATTCAAGAATATGTTGGACACCAGTCTGATAAAAAAGTTTCTACTCAAAGCTCTCACAATCTAAAATATAGACAAGAGGAGATATTTGGAAGAGGAAGACAAGAGGTTGAAAATAAGTTAGTGAGACTGAAGTAGCCTTTTTGTCTATGACTTTTTTTCTTTTTACCTGTTTTTCCCCCAACAAATAACACAAAATGATGAGGTAATATAACAAATTAAACTGCTTCCCAGTCCCTTTAAAAAATGAAAATTCTTACAAAAGTAGCAGGGGACCCATACCCCTAAACTTCTAGATAGTCAAAGTTAAGACCTTGTTATACATTAATTTTAGGCAGCTCCTGGAACATTTAACCCCTAAGCACATTAACACCTGGAATTAGTTTTAAGGACTCTTTAGATCAGTGGTTCTCAATCTTTTTTGGACCAGGACTCATTTGTAAACATGGATGGCCAGGCCCGCCCTGGTGCCACTTGCTCCCAACCCACTGCTCCATGCCCCCAGACCCCAACCCTACAGTGTGTGTGGCGTAGGAGTTGAGCATGTAGGGTGCACCAAGTAGCCCCTTGCAGACTGCAAGGGAAAAGCCATGGTTTCCCACGTTTTTCTCCTTTAGAGAAGAATCCATTTTTTAAGTTTGTTCATGACCCTTTTATATATTCTTGTGACCCGCTTTTAGGTTGTGACCCACAAGTTGAGAAACGCTGCTTTAGATGGCTTTGTTATGCCACTCCAGCCTATATTTCTCTGATCCGTGTCACCTAACTTGTGTTATAGATGCATACAGCGACTCTAGGCTACACATTAGTGTTATACCCCATCCAATCCCCAATTCCCCTGCTGGCCTGAATCAGGCATGCTGCCCCCGCTATGAGCTCATCAGCACCTCAGATCTCCACTGACTGCTCCCTCCCACTTACTTGTGGCTGCCCATGCCATCTGTCCTGGGCAAGCAGGCAAGGAAAGGTTAATCTGCCTGCTGGTCCTTGCTCCCTAGGCTAGGCTCAGCCCTGA